CATTTCCAGCCAGGGCTACTCCTGTTTGGGGTTAGTGTTGGAGGGAACATGGCTGGGGTTGAACAAATATCTGTATCTCTATATCTATGTTTATAGATATAGATATAGATATAGATATATCATAGAAAAATATAATGGTTTGTTTGGAAGGGGTCTCAAATGTATCAAGTTCCAACCTGCTGCCATGGGCAGGGACACCTTCCACTAGACCAGGTTGCTCCAAGCCCTGTCCAACCTGGCCTTGAACCCTAAATACATACATTTCTATATGTTATAAAAATATAAATGGTCCATTTGAAAAGCACACCTGTATAAAGGATAGCTGTGTTTAGAACTGTGTTAACACAAATTAAAATCTCTCAGTGACGATCGCATCAAAATTTTAGAAGGCAGGAAGCAGAAAAGAGATAGCGTGGGCTCGCGTCGCCGCAGCCGGGGACGATTCCAAACTCCCATTCCGGGCGGCCGCCGGTGTGACAGACATGTTGTGTCTCCCGTGCAGCTCCCGGGAGCCTGTGTGAAGGAACACAATCTGCTCAGCCAGCACACGCCAACATCAGGGCCGGCCCATGGCTCGGCTTCCCGGAGATGACTCAGACAAGCCACCAAAGCCAGTGTTTGCGCTGCCACGAGGCGTTTCAGCACACGGCACCCCGGACCCCGGGAAATGTTGACATGGAGATGTCACAAAGTAGCAGATGTGGAGGTGAGAGATATCAAGTCCCTTTGGAGAGGAATTGCACCGGATCATGGGAGAGGAAAAGCACGAGGGGGTCTCTCTGCCATACAGCATCCCAGGCAGAGTTTGCTTTTATTTTAGAAAATCTGGTTTTATCACCTAGTACCCTGAGATGCTTTTCCTTGTGCCTTGCAAAGGCTGAAACCACCCATTCCTGTCAAAATCAGCTCAGCCTGAAGAACATGTGGGGTCTAAGCCATCTCCCATCACCTTTGTGACATTTCTCATCTCTTGTATATTTTAGGTGCACCCACATCAGGAAAAGAAAGACAGGTCTTTGAGAAACCTCCCAACTTGTGGAAAAACCCGATTCCAGACATTTCTGATCGCAGCCTGCTGGTACAGACATGGTCCCTGGAGCTGTGAGACAGAGAGCACTGTGTCTAGGAAGGAGAGCTCGCTGCAAGGAGATTAATTAACACGCTGTCAGGGCAACTGCCAGGATCTCGGAGGTGGGATGTTGTCCTCTTTGGGCTTGTGCTTTATGTGGAAAGAGGGAATAAAAGCTGATATTGGAAAGGAAGCCCAAGCCCTACACTGAAATGGGAGGATGGCTGATGTCCTCATGTTAAGGAGGTCAGAGATGCCAGGCCAGGCACCCAAACTCTCCTTGATTGGGGTGACGAAGAGAAACCAGCTTCTTCACACCTCACCTGCCTCCAGACATGGGATAATTAAATGACACATCACCATCACACACGCACCTGAGTGTGACCTGCCAGGTTCATACCCAGTTCAGAAGCAAAGAGGCACAAAGCAGAGTGTTGGCATGCATTTAAAAAGAGCAGAAGGATTGCTGTGGTGCTGTGGCTTTTAAAAATTGTTGCTATTTCAATGACAACCATGTTCATGGTTTGGTTTCTGCCTGAAGTTGAAGCCTGCCTGGTTTGGTGCCACATGAGTAAGTAGTAAGGGGAGGGATGTGGGCTCACCTCCCCTCTCTGAGCTATGGGAATTGCAGACAGAAAAGACACAACCAGGATTCTGAGGAATTAAAGGCAATGTTTTCCCAACTATTTTCCCTCCCAGCTTAACTTTAACATTTAGGTCTCTTAATTAGCCCAGTTATGTGGCCATGTAATTGCTTCCAGGAGCGGCTCCCTTCCCTCCTGCCTGGCCTAAATATCCCTCCTGGTATGAAGAAAACATTTCTTTCAGGTCAAATTATTTTTATTTTGATTATGGTACGGGGTTTGAGGCCTATAAACACATGTGGTCACCAGCACAAGCAGAAAATTAACCGATCCCCTGCCAGAGCCAGATGCTGATCCAGCACCCGGCACCCCAAGGCTCAGTCCCCAGCTCTGCTTTTAGCACACAGGGAATTCATGGCATGCCCTGTGCCTCAGTTTCCCATCTGTAAAGAGAATGATCTGGACATTTTGGTTTTCCTTTGTTTTGGATCCTGAAGACCATTGCACACAAGGCATTTCTACACCGTGTAAAGCCAGATTTGAGCACGTGTGCAGCCATGCAGACACCTTGCCATTATTTCAGCTCTTTCTCTGAAATCACCCAACTTTCCAGTCTCCTGGAGTGGACACATTAAAAGCAGCCTGGGAAGGTCCCCAAAACTGCAGGGTTTTCTTGAGCACACTTATCCCTGTCTCCTGCATGAGGAATTAGTTGGTTTTCCCGGCATTCCCGTGCCTGGGAGGGCTCTGACCGTGCCCCACCAAAGGCAAGAATGCTCACCATGACTTGCCTCATCGTGCTCGTCCCTCTGTGCCAGTCCTCCCACGCGGGGAGCAGCCTGCCAGCGCTGCTTTCCACAGCCCAACAGCTCTGAAAACCCCGGCCCTCGCACAGCTCCCGGCCTTGCTTTCTTCCCTCTCTGCTCCAGCCCTGCTGCCCCAAACCCAGCAGCACATCCATGCCTTGGGGATTCACCCACTGCCAGGGCACCCGAGCCCAGCTGGGTTTCCTGTCTGGAAACTGAGAATACTCCGTGGGACCTTCTTGGACTGGATCCCAGCGGTGGAGTTCCTTAGTGACACTGTTGTTGGTTGTTGGTTGTAGCAACCGCCGGGCATTCGGCACCGGCCACCCAGCCTGGATCAGCGGGAAAAGAGGGGGTGGGAAGGGGGGTGCCCACTGACACTGGGGGAGATGCTGCTCCAGGCAATCCCTTCTCTGTACCTACAGCACTCATCTCTTGCAGTGTGGAGCTTCCAGACCCTTTCCTTGTGTCATTTCTTGCAGAGGATGAACCACTCCAATGCTGAGCAACGCCGAGTGCTCAGGCATTGCTTTCTGACTTTGGATATTTTGATATATCCAAAGTGTGGAGGACAGCAGCCAGAGAAAACACAGCTATTCCTCAAGATGAAGGTTTTCCAGGAACATGGACTGAGCTGCTTTTGGACGTACAAGTGATTAGATTTTTGTCATCCTTGGATCACCTGCCCATGTCAGAGGCTGTCCAAATTATAAATGTGTGCCTGGGCCCAGAATCCACTGCAGGGAAAGGGAAGCTCCTGCTGACTTGCAAGATATCCCTGACCAAGACCTTTGTTTCCTAGCCAACAAACTGTCCCTCTGGACTGATGGGCTGGAGAAGCTGGCTTTGCCCCACATCATCTTCAGAGGGCAGAGAAGGTCAGTGCCCAGCCAGAGTCTGGACACTCTCCTTCTCCCCTGTCCATACCAGAGAATCACAGAATGGTTTGGGTTGGAAGAGACATGAAAGATCATCTCATTCCACCCTGCTGCCATGGGCAGGGACAGCTTCCACTAGACCAGGTTGCTCCAAGTCCTGTCCAACCTGGCCTTGAACACTTTGAAGGAGGTGAAACGACATGTGCCTTCTTGTACAGAGGGAATTAGGGGGGGACAGTTGTGCTATTCCACCCTGTGGCTAGTAAAATACAGTAACACTTGTAAGTGGTTTTTACTGTCCATCCAGCTTATTATCTAATAAAATAAGCTTAGCATATTAAATGTTGTTGCTGTGATTTATCAAGAGACAAGAGCAATCCTTGTGTTATCCCCCTGCTATGACCCAAATGCAGGATTCCCTTGCCCTTTTTATCCTCTAAGCTCCTCTGGAGTAGGAAAAGCTTATCTCTTGCTCCAACACCACTGCACTCCTTCAAACACCCTCTGCTCTGCCAGGCACGAAAGACCATAAAATATCATGTTCTTGAAAGACCATAAAATACCATGTTTTTGTAAGGAGAAAATGCACACACAGCATTGGATGTCAACCACTGGGTATTTCCCAGCTGTTTCTCCATCCCACCTGCTGAATTGCTCCCAGCAGTTTTCCTGCAAACAACAAGGGGATGTCTTGCACCAGACAGGCTTTGCTGGCCCTAAAAAAAGCATCAGGGCAGATGCTCCCATCACAGTTGACTCTGGAATGAAGCACAGAAGGCAACCACATCGAACTGAAATCATGAGGGAAGTTTTCTGGCCAGCAGAAGGTGACAGCTCACCCCTGGAGGTGGCCAGGGTGCCCCTGCTCCCACAGTGGGAGCCCTGGGGTTTTCACACCCCTGTTATCTCCATCCTACACAGAGCTGGTGGTATCACTGGCTTCATGACTATAAATTACCTATGTGGGAAATGTCAAGTCATAAAACTGCAGGAAAAGAAACCTTATGAGTGTGAAATGGAAACGTTGCTCATGCTGTCCTTTGATGCAGCCTCTTGCTCTGTTTCTCACTAGAGTCCAGTCATTTGGTCCTGTAGGGAGAAGACTCAGGAGCAAAACGCTCCCTGATTTGTGCTTCAGATCTGTTATCTGGCTCTGCATGGCAGATTGAAGAGGGAGGTTGTGCTCTGTGTTTGGAACTGAAAATGAAACATGATAACATCTCCAGAGTGGAAAATTACAGAGGCTAGGAGTGAGTAAAGCCCATAGCAGTAAGAATTAAGCTCCTGATGGAGCCAGGGCTGGGTGCCTTGGGGTGCTGCCTTCATCTCGCCATGGCAGGCCCAGGACTCCTCTCCCCTGAACTCAAAACCGTGGGGTTTAACATATTCCTGCTTGAAACCTGTGCCAGCAGGAAACAACGACCTGCTGGACTCGGTGTGCAAAAATCAACGTAGAACAGAAATGCAGGAAAGAAGTCCATTTGGAAGGGAATGGATATTCTGCTTGGACAGAAGGATGTCTTTCCCTGTAACCCCTGCATTACTCTGCATGCCACAGACCCACCTTGGAGGATGCTAAAAGCTCTTTAGCAAAGCAGAGAGCAGCTCTTTATGTCCCCTCGCTGCCAAGCCCCCTCGCAGGGACGGCCCCACCGCCTCTTACCTGGGTCATCTTGGCGAGGTCCAGCGAGGGCCGTTGCTCCTGGACCTCCTCTGGTCTCCGCCGCTTGACTCCCACCTTTTTGTCGTTGAGGACGCAGGGCTGGGAGCGGCTCCGGGAGAGCCCCCCGGCACGGCGGCCCAGCTCCGGCGTGGAGGCAGGCGTGCTGCTGGCCGAGGGCGGGCCGTACTCCGAGCAGGAGAAGCGGTCGTGCGAGCAGGACAGGGACCTCTGGATGTCCACCCGCTCTCCTCCGTGCCCGCCAGCAGCCGTTTTCCTGGGCTGGCATCCCATCCGTCCGCCGAGGGCGGGATGCTCGGCGCAGAGCGGGTTGGAGCGCGAGGGCAGGCTGAAGCTGGAGCTCCTCTGCATGGTGGCGAAGCCGTTGGAGTAGCGCTGCACGCTGCCCCCGCTGTAGCACCGGCGCTTCTCCACCGGCGTCCACACCTTCGAGCCCAGGGGTCTCCACGAGGTCCCGCAGCCCGACATCTCGTCGGAAAAGGAGAGTGAGCGGCACTGGCGCTTGCTGGGGGGGGCCGAGGCGTTGCCGTGGGGGTCGCTGAGGCTCAGGTCCTTGATCAGGTTGGTGACGGAGCAGGTGCTGGTCCCCTCCCTGGGCCAGCGCGGGCCCTCCTCGCCCTTGTCCGACAAGCAGTCCCAGATGCTGGCGCCCGGCTGCTCGAGCTGAAGTGGACACTTCCTGCTGAGATCTCTCCATCTGTCATTTTCTGGTTCAGAAAGGAGGAAAAAAAAAAACAAAAAAACAAACAACACACACGCACAGGCATTAGCGTTAATTAATTCTGCGTTTCGCTTTTCTATGTCCATAAACAAAGGAGTAGCATATGGGACGTTTTCCAGTACAAATTAATTAACTCTTGGAATATGGTTTTCTGAACTGCCAGCAGAGCAGGTTGTACGGTGTAGGTGGAGAGAGAGACAAAGTGACAATCCCAGCAGGAGCAAAACTGCTAGAAGAAGATGAAAACATGGCTTTGGATATTCCAGATTTCACTGGCTGAGGGGAATTCAGCAGTATAAAATGGTGTGGCCATTGGTTGTCTCTGTGCTAAATCACGTCTCAGATGTGGGCGGTTTGTCCTGGGTTCCACAACCAATAACTGCCTGAAAGGCTCACAAAAAACTGGAAGTGAAGAGTACAAATCTGGGGCAAGATAGACCCTGGAGGACAAAACACCAGAAAGGAGACGAGAGAGGTGTTGGGATGGTCCTAATAGAAAGGGGGGTGTCCCACTGGGCACTGATCTGCCTATCTGCCTGGCGTAGCACAGAAACCCCAACAAGGTCACCAGAGCCTACAAGAAACCAAAAGCCACCCCAAGACCCATCGAGCTGTCCTGCTCTCATCCACTGCTAAAACAGCATTGCTCCAACGAAACCAACTTATCCCCACTAAGGCTCTGAGCATCTCTCCCAAACTGAGCCCAAGATAGTGTCAAACAGAAGCCATGCAAGATGTTGTTCTTAGGTCCCTGGTTTGAGGCTTATCATCCATCTTCCCTTCATTCCTCAAAATCTCTGGTCACCTGGGTGCTCTGACCCAGGCGCCCCCCTGTCTAGTTACCCCATGGAGCAGGAAGGTGCTATGGACACTGGCTACCCACACTCTCCTACTCTGCTGCTGCAACCTGGGTTTAGCATCCCTTTGGGGTTGCCTTAAAGATCCCAGGTGTACCTAGCACAGCCAATTGTTTGCATTTCTCTAAAAAAACAAAAGGTTGAGCATTTATTTAAAGGAACAAACTGCTTAATAGCGTCACCATTTAAAAAAAAACCACTTATTTTATTCCTCTCTTACATAGACTTATTTATTTATTCCTCTCTATATTTCATTCATCTTATTTACAGGGGAATCTGTTCCTCATGCAAATTTGGCTTTATTAATATCTTTCAATGCAGCACAGCAAAAGATGGTGGTGACCTGTTGCATGGTTTCAGGGTCAGCATAAAGATATTCCTTTCATCAGGTGGGTTTTGCAGTGCCTGGGTAAAGCTCCAAGAAACCTGGACCTCCAAAGTCTGCAGGCTGAGATGTATAGGGCTGCAGGCAGCTTCATGGAGGAAGACTGCAAACATGGTTACAGCTGTATACAGAAATCATAGAATCATAGAATAGAATCATAGAAACACAGAATTGTTTAGGTTGGAAAAGCTCTCCAAGGTCATTTAGCCCAACCATTCCCCCATCACTGCCAAGGCCACCATTAACCCATGGCCCCAAGTGCCACATCTACATGGCTTTTAAATCCCTCCAGGGATGAGGACTCCACCAATGCCCTGGACAACCCTTTCTATGAAGAAGTTTTCCCTAATATCCAATCTATACCTTCCCTGGTGCAACATGAGGGTGTTTCCTCTTGTTCTGTCACTTGTTACCTGGGAGATGAGACTGACCTCCACTTGGCTACACCCTTGTTTCAGTTAATTATTGAGAGTGAGAAGGTCCCCCTTGAACCTACTTTTCTCCAGGCTGAGCCCCCCCAGCTCCCTCAGCCGCTCCTGGTGCTCCAGCCCCTTCCCCACCTTCCCACCAATGACCATGTCAAAGAAAGGATCAAGGATGATGATCTCATTCCCACACACATCCCGCTGACAACAAAAGAAGAAAGCAAAGCACTGCCAAGGCTGGGCTGCCCTGCATGGGTTGCTCAGGCGGACAGGGCTCTCTGCAGATACACCACTGACGCTCAACAGGAAAACCATGGTAGGACAACCCCGCCGGCTGCTGCAATGGAAAAAAGTCATCACCCAACAGACTTTCACTGGTGCCTGTTTTTGTCGTCGGCTGCTGCAAACAGAGGCCAACCGTGCCAGCCAACCATCACTGCCAAGTTTCACATGATCGTATCTAAGCCATGCAATATTTTTGGGGGGTTTTCGGGTATTTCCACTCAGGCAACCGAAGGATGAATTCAAAGCTGTACCCAGCCTGCAGCTGCAGGTACCGGCCTGGTAGGGAAGATGCAGCAGTAGAGAGTGTTTCAACAAAGGTTTCAAGTCAGGAGGTCAGATTTGGGGCCCCTTACACCACTCTTGGCCAATTTTCCCATTTCTCCCTGCCTCCAGCTCCAGCCACAAACAGCCTGGCTCTGCCCGCTATAACCGCATGGCATTTCAACTGCTGCTCTCCTCATTTTAATAAACACAATGAAAAGTGAGAAATGTGTGCTAAACAACTTCATCTATGTTTAGATCTTTATTATTTTTCCTCTGTATTATGCTGCCAGCTGAGAGGTTTCTTAGGTCAGGTCAGCAGACAAAAGAAACAGAAATAGAAGCCGATTTTTCATGGCAAGCTGCCACGATCCTCTGGCCGGAGACTGTACAAAGGGCCTTGGTGAGGAGGATACGGGACACCTTCCTCTTTCACCCCTGCTTCAGCACAAACAGCTATAAATCTTCCAAACCTTGCAAAGAAAATGGTAATAGCACCACTATCCCCAGCTCCCAGCTTGGGGTAATTTGCTTTTCCCCTTGCACCATGAGACCTGGCACAGCCTGGCCCCCCCAGTCCCATGGACATCACTGACCAGTCCCAAAGTGGCAAATATTCCAGAAAATGGGTTTTCAGTGCAAACAGAAAGCAGGTTTCACTGAAACAGTTTGAAAATTGGGTAATCTGAGGGCTGAAGGTGTAATTAAAGAACTCTGGAAAGCCTTATTGAGGAAAAGCAGCTGGTTTTCTGCTCAAATTTTTAAGAGTAAGATTCCCATCCTGCGCACACTGATAACAATAATTGCACTGGAGCCATTAATTCTACTGCAGTTAAACATGTATTAATTTTCTTAAATTACAAACCTCAGCCTGGTTTACCCTGAGGCAGTAATTTGTTCCAGGATAAAACCCACCAAAAGAATCCCTTGATTTGCAAGTGAGATGTTTCACTGGGAAACTCTCCTTTGCCTATTGGAAAATGACGGGGCAACCAGAACACAGTGTAAGTGCGACTCGAGGGACTCCCCCCCTGCTTAAACAGGCCCTTCTTGGCTGTTAGTGTCCTTGGATGAAACAGCACCTTACTTCTGGATTTTGACTTAAAACTGCAAAAACAAGCACTAACACCTCAGCAACATCCACCTGTTCTCTCATGCAACCTTCACCGCAACAAACGAAGCCAGCGGTCCGGGGCACGAGGCACTCGTGGGCTCGAGTCACATCCCAAAATCAAGGAGATGAGTGTTGTCCTCCACACAGCCCCGAGAGCTTTGCACAGCCCCCACAGAGAGCAGGATCCATCCTCAGAGCATCGCAGCCGGGCTTCCAAATGCTGAGCTCCAGGTTTTGCAGGAGCAGCTCATGGACACGTCGGGCACTTTGCAGCTCCAGGATGGCCCCAGGCTTTTTAAATGCTCCTCTGGTGACACTGAGTAAATTTTAATGACCACTCTCATAACCACAGAGAAGGGTGTAAAACCAAAACGCTGACACAACTTTAACTACAGCCACACAAATGTGCTGCTATAATATTTTTACAGTTCTTTTTTATACATAATGCATGATCCTTCTGCTCAAGTCTCCTCTACGTTCTTTTCCCGTGAAATAATTTACATTAATACATAATTTATTACAGCAACTTGTAAAGCAATTAGGGGTTTCAATCAATTTTTCTTATCCTTTTTGGCAGATAAATTCTGTTTGGATCTTAACCCAAACATTTTTCTCCACACAGGTGTGCATCCAATTCCCTTTTTTCACATGTTGTTCAGGTTGGATTTTGGTCTCGCAATCCCCATGCACGGTGGAAAGGTAGCCTGCATTTTCCATTGCCCCCTGTTTACGTTCAAGAGATAATTTCTAAATGTGGAACACATTTAATGGCTGTAATTAGCTGATGGCAGTGCCATAGAGCCTTCCCAGTGCAGAAATAAGAGGAAAATATGATGCACAGACTGTGCTTCAATGGGAAATGAAAACAACGGCCCCAAAATCTACTCTGGAGAATAAACACACCTGTGGGCTGCAGGTTGCTCATGCCAACAGCCTGCATGGGGGAGGGAAATTCCCCACCTTGGTGGCAAAACGTGCCCTGTTCTTCAATGTAATTCTCTGGTGAGGTCTCCCCGCTCCAGCTACACCTCACCAGAATTCCTTGTGTGGCTTTTTCTCTTTGTGGGTTGCCTGTGCTTGAACATGCATCAAGATGCTGCTCTGCACTGAAGGCCTTTCCAAAAAAATACCCCAAAATTCCAGGAAAGCCTGGTTCAGCAATAGGAGACATGCAAGCCCAGCAAGTGCTTTCAGGATGCAACTAAGGGGCATCACCTCCATGAAGGGGTTCAAAGGTTGGATTTGATCTTGGAGGTCTTTTCCAGCCTTAATGATTCTATGAGTTGGCTTTTCTTCTGTTTTCTTGGCTTTCTTCTGTCGCCCACACAGAGTGAAAAGCCACTTCCAAGTGAGAGGTGTGCAACAGTGAACCCAAGGCTGCAACCCCTGGCACACTTGGAATGATGGTGTTGCCAAATGGTGCTGGTGGAGAAGAGTCCCAAAGGACAGACAAGCTGACCTGTGTGCTTCATCCATCACCCCACTCTGCCACAGTGCCCTGCAAGGACAAATTCTGAGTGTGCTCTCCCAGGGAAAAAGGAAATGATGGTTACTTTGAAGAGCACTTCACAGCAGATGTATGCAGGATCTGTCCCCAATGGGTTTAAACCCATCCTCCTCCTCCTCCCTTTTACAACCAGGCCTGCGCACGTGATGCCACTCTAGGACTCTGATCCTGCAGCCACAGCGACTGCATGAGCAAGCACCTTGTCACAGCCTTAATAAAACCCTGCCTGCAGCTCACCTCAAAGATAATTTCTTGCTTACACAGAAAACAGGAGGCCACAGCTGTCAGCACACGCCCACTGAGCTTCCCTTACAAGGCCAGGTTGGATGGGGCTTGGAGCCACCTGGTCTAGTGGAAGGTGTCCCTGCCCGTGGCAGGGGGGGTTGGAGTGAGATGGTCTTTAATGTCCCTTCCAACCCAAACCAGGGTGCTACCAACTTGGAGGCTGAGTACTTCTTACGTATCTGCCAGGGAAAAGTCAGTCAATGCTGCCAATGCCTTGTTAAGATATTGTAAATTTTCTTCTGTCATTCACCCAAAGACAGAAAAATTTCACTATAGGAAGTCAAAAGTAGTAGAATTGCAGAATGGTTTGGCTTGGAAGAGACTTTCAAGACCATCCAGTTCCACCCCCTGCCACAGACAGGGACACCTTCCACTATCCCAGGTTGCTTCAAGACTCATCCAACTTGGCCTTAGACACTTCCAGGGATGGGGCAGCCACAGCTTCTCTGGCCAACCTGTGCCAGGTCCTCCCCACCCTAATGCCCCAACTTTCTAATATGTCACTTCTTTCTCTAGCAGAGTCACCGATATATTCATTGTGAACATGTGATGGAGACAGCTGGGGAATGAAAGGGGAAAAAGGACAATTCTTACCCTCCCTGATGTTTCAAGGACCCATCAAGGAGAAGGGAAAACAGAAATTATTGAATTTATACCTTTAGGCATTTCACCTTCAATGTTCCTCCAGGCAAAGGACTATATAAAGATAACCTAATCTTTTTAGTAATTACTTCATCACACCAGCAGGGCTATTTCTCAAAAATCTTAAAAATCAAAAGATTATTTAGGTCACCTTGAGAAGTGGATCTAACATTGCATCATCTAATATCAAGTCTTTAATAATGTTTACTCAATACATTGAGTTCTATTACAACCAATAATCCTTTTTCAAATTCTTGTGGCGTTTAGTACCTTACAAGGGAACTCCAGGGTTTGGATGATGCCCTCTCTGGCAGAGTATGGGCTTCCCTGCCCCCTGGTCACCAGGACCAGACATGAGCTGCCTTCCTGCCCAAAGCTGTCCTCACCCCAAAAGCACCAGGAAGACCCTGTTCTGAGATCCTCAACCTCTTCTGGTTAAAACCCCAGAAAATTCAGCCAACCTCCCTCTAAACCCCCAGCATCTTACATGAGACTATGAGTCTCAGCCTCCCGTTGGCTGTGCTACCAGTCCAAACTTCACTTCAGTGTTTATTTATCTCACTGCTTTCCACCAAGAGGAACTTGGCCCTTTGGCCCGAAATATTGCCCCAGTTTTGCATTTGGTGCTGTAATAACCATGGGGCTTATTTAAGAAATCAAGCAAGTTTTGATACTGGATTAGTCTGTGATCATGGCTCATGTTTGGAGGCATCAAGAACACTCAGGAAAGACGCCTGAAATTAAACTCAAGCCGACTAATGGCCTTTCATGTTGGAGAGAAACAGGCTCCTCTTGACTGGCATGGTGAAGACCATTACAGGGCAAGCTGAGGTCAAGGAGGTGACATTCAGTTCCCCCAGAAAGAGGATGATTTGGCAGACACAGAAGACCATCAGAGCACCAGGAAGATGCAGAAGGCTTTGTAGAAGCTCTTAAAGACAAACTGCTTTTCAATTAGGCAGAGACTCAACGTATCTGTTGAAGAGCCTGCCAGTGCCACAGCGCAAGACAAAACCATCTGATTTGGGTCCTTTGTTCCTCATTCATGTTTGACAGGCCGGAGAAAGGGAACAGGCTGTCTCTACCCTTTCTTGACTTTGATGCTTGTGATTTTCATCTGAAAAAAGAATCCAAATGCTCTCCATCTCCCCTGCACCCTCAATTGACTGGAGCTATCAGAGAGCTTGGGAGACATCTCCTGTCAATGCATGTGCCCGGCTCTCATTAACGCTAATGAGAGTTGTGTCCATGAAGAGAAGGGGTAGCCTCTTTGTAAAGTATTGGCTTTCACAGCAAGTAGCTTGGCTCAAACCTGACCTACAATTTTAATTGGGTTTTGAGACTTCGCCCAGTGTCTGGCTCCCCGCTACGAACGCCAAAGAGCTAAACCTAACAGCACATCCTCTGGCACTATCAGTTTTCAGGATCATCAACCAAGGCACAAATCCTCCATCAATTTTGGTGGCTGTTCAGCATAAAAATTGATAGCAAGCTCAACATAAAAGGCATCAAACATCCTGTATTGTGGTTACTGCCAACGGCAAAAGTAAGTCATTTTCCTTTACTGTTTGAGGTCTGTCCAAACACTTTGTGCCAAGTGGTGGAACATTTTGGTGATAATACTGTTATTTATTACTTGCATCGTGCAAACATTCAAGAGCCACGGTCATGGGCTGGGTACTCAAACACAACCTCAGACCCCAAATATTTATAATCTCTCTGTATGAGTTACTCTAAAAATAAGCAAATATATCAAAGGGGAGGGGAAAGGAGACAAGCAACTCCCTCAGCAATGGCAACAGGGCAGCTCTGGGGAGCAGAGTGGCACAGGCGTGATGGCCACCACCAGTGGGTGGTGGGGTGGGTGCCCCTCTGTTCCCACTGTGTGGGACAGGGTGCCCACCCCAGAGTCTGCAGGGCAGTGCTTTCTGGAGACATCCAGCTAGTCAGGACATCTTTCCGCCCATCACTATGAGGAAGCGGGAGCAGAGGTGGAGTAAATACAGACAGAAGTTTCTGTTACTTACCCATCACGCCACAAGAGAAGAGGGTAGGTCCTTGACTCATCTTTGGAGTGTGCTGCAAACAACCAGAAAAACTATTCACTTCTCGCAGACTCGACCTGGGCACCAGAAACCTCCCTGCCTCGGCAAAGCAGAGAGGAGAGCCTTGGGAGCCTGCCACGGTCTGGTTTTGGCAGGACCAGGAGACAGACCCACTCACCTTCCCTCAACAAAATCAAACTTAATTAAACGCTGTGCAGAGTCGTTGTCAAGGCCTGAGCTTGCAGATCATGGGTCCTGCAGTTAGTCCTTACCCATGGGAATAGCTGCAGAGAGGTCCCCACTCCTGGGACCCAAAACACCGGAAAATGGAAGCTGCAGCTTAGTGGTAATTCTGGATTAGGCAAGAAAGCAGCAGCAGTGGTATCTGAACCACATCCAAGCCCATTAAGGCCCCCCTGTCTAGGTACAAAGCAGCCATTTAGTTTTTTTAAACATATAATGTGTTTCTAAGGCAAGGCGCTCTCACCTCAGCATTTCTGGGGAGTCTGCACTTGGATTGTGCTGATTTGCACTAAAAATAGGGAAAAGTGCCACTATATGGGTACAAAATAATCCCAGTTGCTTTTTACACTCTTTTTTTTTCCCCAAGAATTTTCCTCTTGACAGCATAAGAGACACCATCAGACTTCTAAAAATGAGCATGGATGGTTTTACATATAATAAATCAATATGTCATCTGCAGCTGCATGCCATTTCAGCTATGCCTGCAAAAACACACTTTCGCACTAATTGTTCTTTTATTACCCCTAAAAATATCCATATTCTGGCTTCTGAAGTGTCTATCCTGGCAACACCATGCCATCTGACCGAGGCTTTACATCATCTGAGGGGAGCACCAGCACGGCCTCCACGTTCATCTGCGCTGCCATAATTGTGTTTTATCTGGCGTCAGGCCACTGCATTCACACCTCCTCTCCTGATCCATGTTTTACACGTTGCCTGCTCTCATAACCATGGAATCACAGAATGGAAGGGAGCTTAAAGACCATTTAGTTCCAACCCCCTGCCATGGGCAGGACCTTCCACTATCCCACTATCCCGTCCGACCTGGACTTGAACACTTCCAGGGATGGGGCAGCCACAGCTTCTCTGGACAACCTGTGCCAGTGTCTCCAGTGCATGACGAGGATCATCATCATCATCATCATCATCATCATAATAATAGTGTACCAAATGGTGGCACCTGCCTGTACAGAGCAATCCAATAAAGGATCCCACTTCATATACAGAATGCTGTAAATGTTGAATATAGAGGGATGTGAAGGCAGAAAGCAACTATGGGGTGTTAGATGTGGTGAAGGTAAATAACAGTCAGTCACCTTCTTTGGAGCATGTGCCACTTTTCTAGGTGCAGTAAGGATATCTCTATCTGCCAAGCCCCACTTTAGGAAGCGGCAGGTAGAATTAATCAGGGGTCACAGATGACAGGCAGCTGTCTCCAAAGAGTGGCCAAAGTGGAGCAAAGATGGAAGTGGGACAAGTCCCAGAGAAGGCAGTGGCTGTGCCAGAGCACATTTGTGTGCCAGCCTCAGAGACCAGCCACTGTCTGCAAATACAGGAGGGAGAAGAATACAACATATGTCCCATATTGAGTATAATTACCATTTTGTAAGGATTTTGTGCTTATACCAAATCGGGCACTGAGCCAAATGAGCCCATTGGCTGCTGGCAGGGGTTATTGCCCCATTGCTCAGACATTTATTTCCTTTCAGTTTTGCTTTTTGGCCTTGCCCACAGAGCCAACGGAAAAACTCTGGCTTTGTTTGGTGGATCAGCCTTCCTGCATTAGTCTGCCACAATTTAACAGCTTGGGCAAACCAGCAACTCCAGTTGTGTACCCAGGACTATCACTGCACTACCGACCCAGCCCCAGAGCTACGGGAAGCACTTGGCAAACATGGGAGGGCAGAGTTTCGTGTCACAGCTCTGCATCTCTGCTGTCTGCCATCAGACAGCACAAACACCCACCCTTTCTTGTAGGGAAGGAACTCTCATCTGCCTCTCTGCAGCCAGTTCCCCTGCCCCACACACCTCCTGGGATACAACCAGCATCAGATGCTCATGCTCCCCCCTCACCACCCTGAGCAGCAGCCACAGGAGATGCTGCCTTCCCAGCAGGAGCTAACACTAGAACAAGGATACTCTTTTAATATATCAAAATCCTTCCAAAATTTCACCCTTTTAAGGCAGGATTAAACACTGCCCCTGGCTTGCTCACCTTCTCCGCTGCTGTTCACTGCCAGGACAGACTGCCTTCCCCAGCACACTGTGCTAGCTGCCCGGGGAGCCCAGCTGGACAGTTTGTCATCCTCAGCAAACTGAGGCATTTATATTTCTTTTAGGTTCAAAATGCCCATTTATGGCTAATCCTGCCAGATGCTTCCTGCTGTGTTCCTGCATGTCCTTATCTGAGACTCTCAGTGCACCCTGCCCTTCGGTCTAATTTCTTCTCAGACCATGACCATCTCTCCAGGAGGGCAGAGGAACAAGTGTCCACAACCAGCCTTGCTCTGGGCTCTCTCAGATGGCTCTCCATCCCCCTGCACCTCTTCCTCCTGCCCCACTCCCAACCCCCATTTGCTCTGATCCTGCCTCCAGAGGTGTTGCCCCCTATTTGCCCCACCATAGGTATGTTGAGCCCTACAGCCTTGTTCACCCATCCTTTAGTCTGTTTGTTGCCCCTCATTTGGGTTTTTGTTGTTGCCTGCTCCTTCAGTGTGGTTGGATTTGCATCTCTCCAGGCTCCCAGTGAAATTAAAAGTACCACAGCACTGCCCTTTGCCATCTCCCATTTAATCCTGCTCCCCACTTGCTCGTCTTCCTATTAATGATGAACATCTGTTCGCTGTTGGGGAAGCATCTTCTCACCTGTGTTATTCACAGCATTGATTTGTTTTTTTCCTACTGTTTATCCCACTGCATGCTTATTGAAATCCACATATGCAAAAGCCACAGCACTCCAATCATTTACTAATCACCTGCTCCTTGGATATTAATGCAGCTCGGTAGAAATCAGTTCTACAAACCACCTAAAGATCCAGCCCTGCAGCACAGAAAAAAATTATTATAAAGCTACAGCAAAGTTCTCAGCAGTATAATAGTTTTGAACACAGAATTCACAAACCTTACCAGCTCAGTCCTGCATGTTACGGAGTCAGCACCTTTGTTTTCCCGAGTTTTGGTTAAGATCATCACCATGGTAATGCAGTCCTGCCTCAGAGTCCATCAGGGTCCAGGTGAAGGGTGCTGGCAGCTGGGGTCTGCCAAAGCTCCTCTTTCAGTCCATGTTCCCCCGGGAAAGGCTGGGCCCCGCCGGCTCCTCGGGGGATGCACAGGGACAGCCTCGGAGCGTGGAAAACTCCCTGCACACAGAGAGAGAGAGCAACAGCCTTGAGGGACTTGCCTGGAGGGTGGATGCACCGGGCAAGGGGCAAGCACTGCCCAAAAAACACACTGGTGGCAGTCAGTCCTGAGGAGTGTTTATTTTAGGCTCTTAAAACATTGTTGGTGTCCCTCTGCACCCCATCAGCACAGAGGCATTTAATGGGATGGGCACTTGTGGGAAGCACACAAGGGACACACGTATTTCAGCCAAATAAATGAAGTTTCACTGAATTCTCCATTTAGAAAGGGAATTCATATCCCCTATATTGAAGACATCAAGACTTTGAAAGAAGGGCTCATTAAAGCCCTGGAGCTGATCTCACAGAAGCCCTTGCCATCACACCAGCTGGGAGCAGACATCCAGAAGAAAAAGCCTCTCCGTCATCATTAAGGCTGTTAAATCCCCTGGATGCCCCCATCCCATGCCAGTTACTTCCCAATTCCCAACCTCTGAAGAGCCCTTTAAGGAAAAAACAAGACAAAGAGTAACCTGCAAGGAAGGAGAGAGCTCCCTGCCCTGAAATCCTAAGAGCCACACCATACCTCTTGACCCTTAACCTATTTCTTAGGTAGTTTTAGGTAGAAAAAGCTAAAGGCTGAACAACAGGGTGTGTCTATAAAGCAGAGTATAAAGCCAGGCTCATACAGCACTGCCCAGCCCTGACCAAGAGCCCTGCCTCATCTCCTGGCATCCTCTCTGACAGACTGACTGCTGTGTAAAAGCAGACAGATTGCAATTCTAATCTGATTATTGAAATCAGCATTTTCCCCAAATCACTCCTCTAATCCCGTTTTGCTGTTTTGTTGCTTTGCTGTTAATGCAAACAACCAAACCCACCACTGATCCAAAGGGCATAAAACACTCATCCTGTACCATCCAGTCAAAGCCAATTGTGATATTTAAGGACAACAGTCGAGAACGTGCTGCTAAGTGTTAACCCTCATTCCAAACTGATATGGCTCCTCTTCCCAGCTCCTAAATCATCCTGTCCGTGTTTGCTCGGATTAGAGTTTGTGGTGGTGTCAAGAGTAGCTCATTTAAAGGCCAGCTGGCTGGTAAAGAAAAATCACCTTCTATTCTTTTGTGAGGACAAAGTTCATTCAGAGTGCAAAGCCAAGATTGGGAATCAATACATTTTCCAAAGATTTACTGCTCCCAAGGGTACCTGGTGCAGTCTCCAGCTTTTTATGAACATCAGTGGGCTAATAACATACAATTTACTGGTAACTTCATCATAAACCTCTGGGCAACCCAATGACCAGAGGAAAACTGTTAAATAAAAAAATAAAACATTTCAGACTGTCAAAATGACACATAATTTGTGAGCCCAGTTCACATATTTATACTATGGATAGCCTGGGTTCATGTGAAGAGGGCACAAGCGTTGGAGTTGTCCATCCTGGAGGAAGAGGAGGCTCCAGGGAGAGCTGAGAGCCCCTTCCATGGCCTAAAGCGGCTCAAAGGGAGCTGGAGAAGGACTTTGGACAAGGACTTGGAGGGACAGGACAAGGGAGAATGACTTCCCACTGCCAGAGGGAAGGGTTAGATGGGATTTGGGGAAAAAATTCTTCCCTATGAGGGTGGTGGGGCCGTGGCACAGGTTGCCCAGAGAAGCTGTGGCTGCCCCATCCCTGGAAGTGTCCAAGGCCAGGTTGGACAGGACTTGGAGCAACCAGGTCTCATGGAAAGTGTCCCTGCAGTCTTCAAGGTCCCCTCCAACCCAAACTATTCTGTGATTTTTATCTATCACAGTCTTAGCTGTCCCTGATCCTGACACGGATTTAGGAATGCTGGCTGCAGTGCCAGACCCCCTGTGTTTGGGAGGACACCAGGGTCATTGCCAGCACTGTGCCAGCACAGGGACTGAAGATCAAACAAACATTCAGAGCAGCGTGAAAGCAGTTAAGCACAGTTCCTCGTTCACCAGGTATGATTTCTCCGGGAATAATTACCTTTCCCTAAGGTAATGGTTAGTGCTGCTGCAGCAGACTGGGGCACACACGCAGGCGTGCGGCAGCCAGTAGGCAGGAGCAGCGGCAAGTACAGGCAGAGCCTCCTGCCCAAGCTGGCCAGGATGCAGCACACACCACCTCCCACCTCCCCTCTCCCTGCCCCACTGCATCTCCTGCAATTAACACAACCCTAATGACACACAGCACAGCAAACTGCCTGCGAGCTGGCAGCCAACACCACACACATGCACCCAGCGCCAGGTCCGGGTGTGCTTGCAGGTATGAGCAATTTTAACTACTGCTTGGTTGGGTTTTGAAATCACCCCCACGGACAAACTTCAACAAAAAGGAAAACTTTCCAAGAAACGTGATCTTTGGCTCCCCATCCTGCCTCGCTGGGCTCCTGACCCAGCACGGTCCTGCCCCATCATGTCCTCCCGATGCAAACAAGTGCCACGGAACAGAAACTGCAGAGCTGGGATGGGTCCTGCTGGTGCTGAGGAGGAAATTACTGCGTATTTATAGACTGGACGCTTTCACACACACACATGCTAATAAAAAGATACTCTTCAGGGACCATTAATTACTTTAAGAAATGTATTTCCTCACTTGCAATCAGATAAAGGAATTATCTTCATCCTGATGTCAAGGTTAGGTTCAGACTCAGGCCATGGCCACAGGAGCTGACATGATCTCCCGAGCTGTATGAAGTGCCCCTGAGAAGCACTAGTGCATGGAAGCCCCCAAATTTTAGCAAACCCTGCTTTTTCCTTGGGTTTTCATTCAAAATACAGACCGAACAGAAGCCAGTGTGGTCTTTGCAGTTGCAGAGGTGGGAAGAAGTTTCTCCCAGAGCTGCTTCCTGGACAGTATCACAGTCACGGAGTGTTGGGCTTGGGAAAAAATTACACTGCAAAAAGAGTAATTCAGATGATCCAACTTTCATCCATGGGCTTGGAAGGTAAGGCTGGAGAACAAACATGCTCCTTACAAGGCACAAGCAAGGAGCACAGCCCTAGAGCTGCTCACAGGGGACAAACAACCCTTCCCTGCAGGGAGGTCCCACTCCTCACCCCACAGCTGGCGTTACCACAGCAGATTCCAAGCACCAGTCACAGCCATGCCCTGTTCACCTGCTACACTGACCTGTATGGAAAAGACCTCAGGATTTAACAAACTGTCTGTCAGATCCACTGCCATGGTTAGAGGGAGCATGAACAGTGACCAATAACCCATCCCCATACATTCCAGGAAAAATTTCCTCACAGAAACAGTTGTCCAGCCCTGGAAAAGGCTGTCCAGGGCAGTGGTGGAGTCCCCATCCCTAGAGGGATTTAAAAGACATGTCAATGCGGCACTTGGGGACATGGATTAGTGCTCGGCTTGGCAGTGCTGGGGAATTGTTGGACTTCACGATCTTGGAGGTCTTTTCCAAGCTTAACAATTCCCTGATTCCATGATCTGAGCCCCAGCAGTAACTCTTCATGAAGATGACTGAGGTCCAGCATCACACAGATTTCCACTTGCTGTGGGATCACCACCCTGCACACAGAAAACATTCAACCCCCATCGAGCTCCATAATCCATCTCCAGACACACACACTGACACAAAACCTGTTTACAGTGGGAAGGGCACACAGGAACGAGGAGCTGGAGCTGTATTTTGCATACTGATACACCTTGCAAGCACAACAGTGTGATCGCTGTCAGAATATAAATCACCTGCCCCAGATGGATTTTTAATGCTGCTCCAAGTCTCCAGTGAAGAAGCCACAACCCACACAGGACCCTGCTTCCCACCCCCTGCCCCAGCACCATTCCCTGTGTTGTGCCTGAGAAAAACAACGGGCTGAGCGAGGAGCCACCGTGATTTATTTAACGCAGTTTAGACCCACATGTCTGAAGGACCAAACCTAATCCCTCTGGGCAACACTGATCACAATTCTAAGGCTTAACCACCCTCCCACTCTCACCAGTGAAACAGAAATTCCCCCACACCGTTGCACATCTTGATTACTCCATCAGACAGAACCCTGTGGGGACCAGGCACTGACCATCCCCTTCCAAACCCTACAGGGGGCTGCAAAGAATTTGGGGGAATAGCCATAAGTGGTGACTGCAATTGAAAATTGTGGGCTTTCTGCAGAGCATCACATTGCAATATTTACCCAAACTGTAAAACGTACTTCTCTCCCCATCCTTCCCCTTCTTAGAAGGGCTTGGGGCTACACTGACTCTCCTCATTGCACAGTCTGTCTCACCATCAGGGCTTTGGACAGTGCCAAGAAGTACATCTTCAATTTGTTGATTTATTGCATTATGAATTTGGAAAAATCCTCAAAGCCTATCATTTGCATGTAGCTAAGTCTCGGCTCATTTCCTCACTCAGGCAACAATTTGCCTTCTGTAGCAGGGCTGAGGGGGCTCAGCTCTGGGCAGTTTGTTCCCCTTGCCTGAGCAATCTCCCACATCATTAGTGAATAATGAGTTTATTTATGGGGTAAAGTCCTCCAATAAATGTGAAAAATGCCATTCAGGACCCAAGAAGAAGTCTGTACACTCTGAAAATGCACCATGGACTAGTCCCGAGTCAACAGGATCATGAGTCAGTGCACGTGACTTTCAATGGACGAAACTTCCACGGATGCAGCCGCATCAGGATCACCCCCTGGGATTCCATCAAGAGGAAAAAGCTGCCCCAGGCTGCCCAGCCTTCAGAGCAGAAAGGCTGTAGCCCTGCCCCATCTTGCCCTGAGCCTGCAGTCAGCTCCTCCTGCTCCACAGGATTTTCCCCAGCTGCTGGAAGGGCAAGCACCATCCTTCCAAGAGGCAGGAGAAGGGCTCCAGTGCAGAAGGCCCCGGGTCCCACACGGCGCTCCCCTCCTGCCTGATTCCTACCTGGCAAAGCCTTGTGCTGCCACATGCTCTAAGTACTCAGATAAAGGAATCAAAGATTACCAGCCAAAGAAAAGGAATGAGGAAATGTCTTCCTCTGCCTCCTGCTTAAATCTAGACTAGACTTTTC